GCCCGCCGGCATGAGGCGACGGCCTACGGCCGCCGCGAGACTACATTTTGTTACCTAAAATAATCTCCCTTCCACCCAAACTTGATCAGAAGCTCATACAATAAGGAAAAATCAACTAAAAAACTCGAAAAAATAGACTCAGCACTCAAAATTATCCAAAGCCAATATTTTTCCCGAAATCGCCGTCAAATTTGGCCCTAAAACGGCCAAATCCCGAGAATCCAGGACCAAAAAAATAATTTTACAAAAATTTCTCGAAAAAATCCAGAAAACCCCGTCATGATGACCGGTTCCTCACCACCCTCCTCATTCTCAGCACTCTCTCCGTCTTATCTCTGACCGGAATTGAAAGAGAAAACCTTTGTCTAACCACCCTCCACCCCTTTCCCACTCTCTCTTTTCTCCCGCCAAACGAAGAAGGAAGCGGTTCTCTGCCCGCTCTCTCTCTTCCCCGCGCTCTTTTTTTGTGTTTTCGTCCATGGAAGTGGGCGTTTTTTCAAAACTGGCACTTGTTGCACTAAAAGTACCGGGGAAAAAGATACGACTATGTCCGAAATGACATAGAGATTCCGAATATGTAACTTTTAGACTAATTTTAGTTGGAAATTTTTGGAATTTGACGATTTTTCCGATTCGGGATTTTTTGGGACCGCCGCTTCAAACACGATTTCTGATCATATCTCTCGGAATCGTATCCCAGCTTCTGGTTGTAGAATCCTTACTAAATTGTCTATCATGTAACGGGCGGGATTTTTGAATTTCGACCTTGTTCCCGAGCTATAGTAACTTTCGTGAAAGTAAGTAAAATCCAAAAATTCGGAAATTCGAATACTGATTTTTCAACCTGTGCGTATTTTAGGAATCGACATCTGTTTCTGTAGCAGTTCCATGTGCTAAATACGATGGACAAAATTAAAATCCGAAAAAGTTCGATTCCAAGCCCTCAGGGCCGAATTTTGGCCGAAATTTCGAATTTTTTTTTCGACCGCACGGTGCGCACAGAATATTGCAAGTAGAAAGCTGAAACTTGGCACGATGGTAGTTCATTTTGTGTCCTATAGCACCCATATAATCAATTTGTTCAACCCCGCTAATTGCCCTGAGGGCGATTTTTTTCGCACGGTGCACCAAAAATCGACCGAAATTTCCGGCCGCTCTGGCGGCCGTAATATCAAAAATACGAAGACGATGTAAGCGGGTAATTTGTAGAGCTCTTCGAGCTCTACAATCTATAGTTGGACATTTTTGACATCGTTGTTGTACTTCAGAGCGAAAAATTTGAAAAAGTCAAAATTTTGAAAATTTCGAAAAATTTCGTTTTCCGTCGGGAGATTCTATTGAGGACATGGCTACGTAGAATGTTCTGAAAAAATTTTGTGACAATCTTCGAGCAAAAAGAAATCGATCAGCGAGCCGTTTTTTCGAATTTCGACCTGGGAGCCGAGAACGAATTTTTTGAAATTCGCACTGTGCAAATCGTATTTTTTACAGTAAGCCATAGCTAAAATACGAAGCGCACTACAAAAAAGAAAGACACGTACTAATAGGAAGTCGGGTACGTAGAATTCAATGGAATCGAAAAAATCCAGAAATTCCGTCATCATGACGGGGTTTTGTGTAAGTGTAAGTTTGTACATGGCCGTATCTACACATACATGGAGTTATCTCTTAGTTATGAATTTGCTTTCCCGATATGGACCTGTAGAAGCTTGCATTTCAATATTCCCCGGTCTAATTAAAAGATACGAAAAAAGGTCTTTTTTTGAGATTTTTTTTGTAAATTTTGAAATTTCGAAAAAATCTCGACAGTGATTGTCCCATTATGTACCATACGCGACGAAACCAAAAATCAAGTCCATACCTATAAAACTAAGCGAGATATGGCAGCTCAAATTTTCGACTTTTCATGACGTCATAGGTCACTCAAAATTGAAAATTTCGAAATTTTTTTTCAAATACTCAAATAGAGGATCTTAAAAGAACCACCATGCCAAAAATCAAGTCAATCGGGGCAAAACAAAAGTATAACCACAAACCCTATGAATACTTGTATTTTTTTTTAGACCAACCTCAGCGACACGATCGCCGCAACGACATTGTGGTCACTATTTTCCCGACACACCTTCTTTCGTTTACTATATTTCCCAGATATTCAATCAAATAAAATGTAATACCGCCAGTTTCGCCTTTTTTGGAGCCAAACTGCCAAACACCAGGCCTAACAACCTGATATTATACTAGGCGTCAATGATGAAAAAAGATAATAGGATATGTCGGAGTGAACTAACAAGTCCTATACCATTCGAAAGATTACAGAATAAAATTTTAACACCGCAAGTTTCACCTTTTTTGGAGCCAAATTGCGCCTGTACCAGGCCGAACACTCTGATATTACACTAGGCACTAATAAAAAATAAAGTGAATTAGAGATGTCGGAGTGAATTGACAAGACCTATACCGTTCGAAACATTACAGAATGAAATTTGAAAACCGCAAGTTGCGTCTTTTTTGGAGCCAAATTGCGCCTGTACCAGGCGGAACACTATGAACCAGTTATGAAAAAAGTTAATTAGAGATGTCGGAGTGAAGAGACGCGACCTACACCATTGGAAACGGCACCGAATGAAACTTTAACGCTGCAAGTTTCACCCTTTTTGGAGTCAAATTTCGCCCGTACCAGGCCGAAAACTCTGATATTACACTAGGCACCAATGATGAAAAAAGATAATTGGAGATGTCGTTGTGAACTGACAAGACCCTTGACAAGACCTGGACGGACTCACATTTAGAGCAAATCCTTTCACTAGCGCCTTTAGCTTAAAGGACCAAAACAACTACATTTGAATGCGAATTTTTACGGCTTGGAGGTGCGTTACGCCAAAAGTTGCGAAAATCCCGCGACAAAAATAAAGACAAAAAATAACCGAGAATTTTTCTCGAAAATGCAAAATTGAAGAAAGTTCGAACTAGTTCATGTTCCAAAGCTGCTGAAAAAGCTTGTTGATCATGTGGATCCTGCCCACACCCATTCTAATGCTCTTGGGGAAAGTCTGATGTAAGTTTTTCTTGGTTTTTGCTTGGTTTTTCACGTTTAGGTAGGAGTGAAAGATCATGTACAATATTTCTGCGGTTCTTCCAAAAAACAGCACATGCGCAGCCTTGAGGAGCAAGTGTTGGACTCAAGGCTCGTGTTGTGTCCATGTTCTTGCTTGTTCGGGCTGTTTTTGCCCATTTAGAGGTGTTTTATATATATGTTGTTTTAGTCAAGCTTTCAATTTCAGAGTTGTTCAATGGGGAAAAACATTTACCCAAGAATTTTGAAGAAAACATCTGCTAAGTAGAATAAGTTTTATGTTACAGTAATCCATGATACAGCACTCTACCAAAAAAGTTAACAGGAAAGTTTCTTACAATTAGCCATAGAATAAGTGTTATCAATTTTAACCAGTTTGAAGCAGTTTTATTTTTGATGCATTAATCCTCTAAAATTACATAAAAATCGTTTTAATCCCAAAGTCAGAGAGTTTTAATGCCTAAAATTGCTCAGCGTGCTTCAAATAACTCTCAGGTTTTCATTAAAAGTGATTTTAGGTCTTTTTCTACATTCGCACCCACCCGGATTCGAACCTGGGTGGTCAGATTACCAGTTTTGGTCAAAAACCACTGCACCACGGAAAATGGGGGTCCTATTTTTGAACTTTTTAAAATTGGTCCTAGAGCAGAATTTTACGCTGATTACGAATATGAAAAAATTGGCTGTGGCTTTTTTGAAACAAACTTTTTATGGTCGATTTTAACCGACCGATACAGTATTTTTATATGTTACCGTAACCGGATGAAATTTTTTTTGGTTTTATTGAACTCGTCATGCCCAAAAACCATAGTAGCCTTATTTTTATGACAAACGGACACCATTGTAGAAAGTTATGACGAATTACTGTATAAACAGAAAATTGTATAAAAAGTACAGTTAATGGAAGAATTGAGGAAAACTGTGGTTCGCTTTTTCCCTACTGGTGCTGTGGATCATATTTATGCAAAAAACTCAACTTCGAAAAAATCCTATGTCACGGCTTGCTTCACTGACTCAGAAATCGTCTTTTAATAAAAGGTGCGTCAGCGTTATGTCGGGAATAATAAAAGTAAAATTCACTTCAACTTTATTGCGATAGACAAGGCGCCATGATCATCCGGTTTGGTGGTGAATCTCAGCATTGGTTAGACACAGTACTGGCACGAAATTTAAATGTTTTTTGTCCTATCTTTGTTTTACAGAATGGAGTGTCAAACCTCCGTCGGCTCAGGCGATAGCGGTCCTCTTATAATACAAGTTTACCATTTACTTTCATTAGGTACTCAGTTGTTTGTTGATTTCTGACTTTCTTTGTAAGTTTAGCAAACTCGGTGGTGGCAAGATCGGGCAGGAACCCTAGGAATGTTTTACTGTGAGATGAGAGACATCAGTACTTCTGCACTGTGCGGTCAGAATATCGCCGCGACATAAGTTTTCTTTTAAATACAGTGGGGGACCTGATCCAGTGGTAAAAAACGTACCGGTTTGCGTCCGGGAAGTATCAAAAATGTGGCAAAATGCTTCCCTCTCCAAGTGAAAACACTTCGCTTTGAAGGACGCGCCCTTTTTCCTAACAAAAAGAGTAGGCGCGCTTTTGAAATCGGAGTTTCTTCACTTGGAGAGGGGGGTATTTTGCCACATTTTTTGATGCTTCCTGGATGCAAAGTGGTGCGTTTTTTGCCACTGGATCACGTCCCCCATTGTACGTCGATACGGTTTTGCGGAAGACTTTGCACAGTGCGTTTGCGAACAAGTCAACACAATTTTGTAAAAAAAATTGACAAATGCTCTTAAACTTTTAACGGAAACAATTAGACCTTTCCTTTGAAGTCGCAGACGCTTCATTTCTTTCAAATTTTTGGGGAAATGTCGAGGCGTTCTCGATCGGCCTCGAGGCAATTTCCTCACTCTCATTTCTCCTGACGCCATGCAGGGTGAGCAAGCCCCGTTTCTCATCGCAGATTCGGCCGCGTCGGCTTCGAATTCGCTAAATTTGTCGGGAAATTTTGAAGACCCACTTTTGGAGCAGGAGATTTTGGGGTGTGACGGGTTAACCGCTGCGCCACCATCGTCTCCGGAATGCCCCAGTTATCAGCAACTGTACCCGGAAGCCATTGGCTGGAGCTGGAATTTCTGGTTTTGTGGGTATTCGTGGAATGTGGACATGCGAAAACAGCCGAACACAATGGCTCCACAGCCATCTGTGATCAGATTTCGAGGAGAAAACTACGAGTATCCGGTGAAGGTGATCGGTATTGACTTGAAAGTAAGTTGTAGAAAGCAGAGAAAGCGGTTAGATTATATCAGTCTGTCGGGAAAATAATGAGCATTCCGCCGCATCGAAAATCGCATTTCCGACGAGAGAATGAATTGTGTCGCATGTCGCGGCAAAGTCAAATTGCTTTTCACTTCAGCGACGCGATCGACGCTGCGACTTTGCGCTCATTATTTTCCCGACAGACTGAGAGGAGGCCACATATCAAGTCGAGATATCCAACAATATTTTTCGTAGAGAGAGTAGGCAAAAACCGGAGGGCGGTCACAGAAAAAATATATTTTTGGCCTTTTTCCCAGCCTAGGAAAAAATATTTTGTGAAAACGTTGCCTTCTCCGGTAGAAACAGGTCAGATTTTTTTAGCACCAAAACTTGCAAAAATTGTAGACTAAAAGTCACTTTTCCGTTGTTAGATTTCATTTTTCATGACATTAACCACTTCAAAACAACATTTTTTGATGATTTTCCAAAGGTATTGGACTGATTACTCATTGATGATGCTCTTCACAATCAAAAATTTTCCCGTTTTGACCTCGAGACAAAAGGCTATAGAAAATTGAAGTTTCTTTTTTTCATACTTCTAAATGTTTCAAAGCCCGATTTTTTGCTGTAACTTTTTTTTAAATTACTTCCAGATATGGCTCCGACTGCTCTCAATCATCAACATCTTTATTGTTCTCGGATTTTCCTTTTTGGCTATTCGAATAGAACAGAATTTTCTGTGGAAAATATACAACATCAATTCCGTCTTTCAAAGTTTTACCTTTATCAACGGTGTATTTTTGATGACTTCGGCGATTAATTTTTGCTACCAAATGCATCGACGGCACTTGTGGATTGATCCGAGATACGAGGATCATGCCGTAGTGAATGTAAGAAAAATTTATTATCAAATATTGTAATTTTAAGTTTTTCATTTGTAATCTTGACTTATTTTTCAGTTTACCTGGATATTCATCAGTCTTTCATTTATACCCTCTGAGCTTCAACAAGAACACTCATCGGCGGCTTTTTGCCCACCTTCACTGTTGATGTTGGTTCTACATCTAGCGAATTATATTATGATGACTAATGCGTCATCGTATGTCGATGTAAAGTACTGTTGGCTGTCGGAAAAAAGGAAAGAGGTCTCCTACCTCTCAACGCCTTTGGATAGGGATTACTTTTATTGGCACGAGTTATTTTCGAGGAAAGGCTTGGGAATCAACAAGAAATTGAATGTAAAGTCGAAAATTTCCTTAAAAAGCCAGAGGCCAATAGCTATCTAAGAGTTCGCTGAAAAGTTGACTGAAAATGCTAGGGCACAGCTCGGAAAAAAGCTTGCGCAGCTTGCCGAGGCTACACTGGCGGACCAGTTCCAGTGGCAAAGAACGTACCGTCTTGCATCGAGGAAGGAATCAAAATTCTGCAAAATACCTCCCTTCCCTAACCAAAAAAAAACACTTCTTTGAAGATCGCGCATTTTCTTCACAAAGAGAATGCCCGAGAATTCAAAGAAATTTTTTGGTCAGAAAAAAGAGGTATTTTGCGGAATTTTGGTCCCTTCCCGGATGCAAGACGGTACGTTTTTTGCCACGGGAACAGGTCCGCCACTGAAGTGCCGGAGAGCTGCGCAAGCTTTTTTTCCGAGCCATCCCCTAGTATTTTCAGCTAACTTTTCGGCTCTTTGCCTCGTCGCAGTCGCTCATCAAATCCTCAGCCACGGCTGGCCGTCGCAAAACGGCGATGGGCGACTCCAAACCGCGACGAATCCACATTATTTCCCCGATAGACTGATAATTACTGCAAAAGCAAAATTTCAGATCTGTGGATACGCTTGCACCCTTCTAAACATCAGTTTTATGGCCATAATGGGAGTTAACTTCGTCTCTAGCAATGCCTATATCCAATTTGTTGTTTGGGGGATGCTAACCGCCATTGTGACCGCCGAATTCAGAGCCTATACTTATCAGGACAAAAACTGCTTCTACTATGCCATGGTGAGTCAAACGCAGCCAATTTGCTGTATAATATTACGGATTTCTTTCTATCTGATCACCTAAAATAATACAATTTTCAGTCCTTCGTAACTTTATACAATTTTCTCATGATGGCCCCATCTCTTGGAAAACCGCTTCTTGAGACACTAAAAGCGGTTTCAATGTTATTTGGAAGCTTTATTCTAGCCTTTTTGAACACCTTATACTACCAAGAGCTCCAAAAATTTCACCGCCAAGAATTCGAGGAGATCGAAATGACCACATGGCGAATTCATTCCGGCTCAACCACAACTTACGGATCAACTGAAAGCTCAAATAGCCCAGAAGATGGCTAGAAATTCGCTCTCTACCTCGCATTTTTTATATTATACATGCATGATCCCAATTATATAACTTTTGAGTAAATTAATGATAAAAACAAGAAAAAAGAATGAAATGTACGTCAATATGGGTTGAAAAGCTCCAAACAAAGTCATTTTTTAGGTGAAGATTGAAAATTTTCTCTTCCACCGTAACCCACTCTGCGTCCCGACGCGAAAATCGAAGGCGCCGAACGGAATGCCAAAACTGTTGTTTATCGGCGTTGTTTTCGCGAAATTTCGCAACTATCTTGATGATGAGGTTGTTGACAACTTCGATGCAACATTGTGTTTACACCGCGGCATTTTACCAATTTTAGCTTGTACTGGATGCGTAGTGTCTGTTATGGTATAAATTCTTGATGTTAGGAGTGAATAAAAAGGTGTTTTTGAGGTCCACAAGGCTCATCAGTATCTAAGTTCTGTTTAGCGGATAAACCGCTACCATATTTGGAGTTTTCAATCTGTTTTCTTCAATTTTTTGTTGTATTTGATATCTGATCTCGTGTCAGTCAAAAGTCCCCAGAAGTTGTTAAATCCAGCCTTTTTTTGAGTTTCAAATCACATACCGATACCTAAAATACCAAGTTATTTGATTTTAACTTTCATTCGTGAAATTTATTGGATTTTTTCTCCGATATTATCCATGATCCTATTCCAGTGAAAATGAGTGAATCTCCGCACAATTCGTCATCCTACCCTCTGGTACCGCCTCCTCAGCAGCCGCTAATCGATTTGTCATGTGGAAAATCTGAGCACATTCAGCGTCCAGTCCATAACAAAAATCCTATGGCAATCCGTTTCAGAGGTGTGGATTACGAATATCCGGCCAAAACTTGTGGTATTTCTGCATTGGTAAGTTGAGGGTGATGTCGTAGATGAAGATTGAGAGATATTTTTGCTGTTGCAGTTGAGCTTAATTTGCGTTTGCAGACTTGGATTCGATTTCTGGCCCTTTTGAATGTTGCCATCTCTCTGGCCGGAGTCTTGGCGATTTGGAACCCGTTTCTCATCGTATCCGTCCTTCTTTCAATTGTTTCTTCGATCTACTTCTTCATCGTCACTCTCTTTAAGAAGTCCTTCATTCGTTACGAGAACCTCGCTTTCATCAATGTAAGTTCTTTATTTTTATATTGTACTTGGTCTTTAGTATGGAAATATCCCATTCTCCGGCTTTCTCCTCGGAATCGAGTTTCACCAGTATCGTACTGGATGGGCTCTAATTCCAGCTCTCGCTCATATCATTGGCTATAGCATTGTTTGTGATGGTGCGTGTTATTTGGAGACTGGATATTGGTGCTTGTCTCGTCGATCGCCGGTGTGCCTTTCGTCCGACCCTCCAGTTGATCGGACCTTCTTCTTTTGGCATGAATTGGGAAGCAGGAAGATCTATGGGAATCGTTGCGAATGCAGAAGAGTAAGTTGGACATTATTTTAAGGATCTTATTTTAGGGTTCAATTGCATTTATTATGGATGAAAATTGAAGATTATTTTTTCAGATTCTCGGCTACGTTTGCAGTTACCTGGCTTTGACCTTGGTGTTTGCCAATATTCTTCTTTTTCCAATCTATCTCCACAACCATTCGAACTTTGCGCCAATCATCATGACTTTCTGGTATTTGGTTGGAGTCTTCTGTTTCTACGAACGAAAGGCCTTCCTTGGTTACAAGAAAGAGGGATATATCCGTGTTATGGTACGTTTCAAGTCTCATTTTTATTATTTTCAATATTAGGTTTGGACTTTCGGTTTCAACTTTGGCATCATCTTGTCCATTGTGATCAAAAAGTTGAAGGACAAGTACTATGACGGATACTACTATCTTCCCCGGACTTTTGGTCTCATCTTGATCTCAACCGTTGTCAGTGGGATCCTCGCCTATCTACACAGCAAGTTCTACAAGACTTTGACTGAGCGTAATCATCAGCAGGAGCATTATGTCGCCGTTCCATCCGAAAATCATCAGAGTGGGATCAATATCTAAATATTTTCAATTTTTTTTAAAATTTTTCAAATATTTTGTTGTCTACCTCAATGTTTTGATGCTTTTTGAGTCTAAACGAATTTCTTTTGTCTGCAAAATTCTAAATTATAATTGTCGACATCTAAATTTCTCAAAAACGTTAAAATTTTACTCGTCTTTCAAATATTCCCATGGATAATATAACTTTGATCTCTAGACGTCCCAAATTGGCTTTATTTTTATGGTTTTGTCTTTGTTTTGATATTTCCACATGTTATGTCTAATATTCAATGGCTATTTTTGTTGGTTTTTGTTGTTAATAAATTTCTTGTTATTTTAGATAGCAGATAAGGTTTTTTTAATGTTCTTCTTTCTCAACCACAGTTTTTACGTCAAAAAAGTGTAAGTCGCTGATGGAAATTATCCGGGGGTGACTACAATATTGTAAGGAGCAGTTACAGTATCAAAATTCCGTTTTCTGTGCGCTTCGTCTGCGTCCCACAACGAAAATCGCAATCGCCGAACGGAATGCCAAAACATTTTTTTGTCGACTCCGCGAACGAATGAGCTCGGCAATGGAGATTGTATCACATGCGAACACGCTTTGATGTTGGTAATTACACATTATATATAATTTTGCGCATTGCATACTTTTCGGCATAACTTTGACGCCTGATGTCTAGTATAATATTGCAGAGCTTTTATAGATGCAAAAATTGCTGTTTGGTGGGTGGTACAATGTTTTCCGGTACTCCAAATTTCCGATTCAGTGTTTTATTTTACATTATTTTGCTTTTGTTAGATTTTTTGACTCAATTTATCTTGTAATTGGCATCTGATTTTTCTTGGTGGTAGGCTCGCTGAAACTCGAACGAACATGTCTTGGAAGCGTTTAGAGAATAATCGATAAAAAAAGAGCGATCGATTTTGTTGCACGAGTTGTATTACGTGTTCTATGGTATGTATTATATTACTTTAGGTAATATGGCCGAAAACTTGCGCAAGCCTCCGATTTACGATCAGGTTCCGATCGCTGACCCTCTTCTGACCGAACCAGTCTACCGGAAATGCGAGAGCATTCAACGGGCAGTTCCGGCCAATGAACCGACAGTTATCCGGTTCAGGGGTCTGGATTATCAATATCCATCGATAATTTGTGGTGTTCCTGCATTGGTAAGCAAATTTTGATGTTTTTTTGAACGTTTAGGATGTTTTCTTTCTGTTGATGAAGCTTTCAATTTAATTTTACAGATTTGGATCCGAGTTTTTGCCATTTTAAATGTGGCTATCACTGTTCCCGGAGTTGGATTGGAGATGAGCCCATTTGTGGCCGGAAGTGTTTTACTTTCCTTTATTTCCTCCGCTTACTTCCTCATTGTCACCATGTTCAAAAAGTCGCTGATCCGTTTTGAGAACCACGCCTTCCTCAATGTAAGGTTTTTGATATTACACTTGATGTTTAGTTTGCCTGCCTGATCCTTGCGGTCCCACTGATTGTTGAGGAAGTGGCGACTACACGCACAGGAACATCAATTATCGTGTCTGCGGTTCATTTCTTGGGCTATTGTTTTGTCTCCCACGCTTCCTGTTATTTGGAGACGGGATATTGGCGTTTGTCTCGTCGAGTCCCTCTCCGCCAACTGACTGAGGCTCCGATCGACCGGTCGTTTTTCTTCTGGCATGAGCTGGAGAGCAACAAGAGCAATGAGGAGCGGGATGAGACGAAAAAAGTGAGTGTTGCGCTTTCTTTGTTCTTACTTTAGGTGATGAAAATGGAATTCGATTTTTTTTCTCGAGGGATATATGGGGCTGATGAATTATGGTGTGAAATCCATTGCATAACTACCTTAGAAGGTTTTCTTGGCTTGAGACGCCTTGAGAAGCCATTTTAGACGAAGAAAATATCAAAATTATCATGAATAAAATCCATTTTTTAAATTTTATTGTCTTATTTTCAGATTCTCGGGTATGTCTGCACAGTACTCGCTCTTCTTCTGGTTTTCGCCAATTTTGCTGTCATTCCGGTTCAGTTTCATGGGGAAGATTCCGCTACTCGTATGTTCTTATTCTGGTACATGATCGGGATTTTATGCATTTACGAGTGGAAAGCTTTCATTGGCCATAAAAAGGAAGGCTTCATTTATTTGATGGTGAGTTTTGAAAATGTTTTTGCTGTTTTTTCATAGAAAATTTGAGATTTTTTATTTAGAATAAGGTTAAAATAATATTTCAGTTGTTCGCTTGCACGCTCAATTTGATTTTGGCTGCATCGATTATCTTCTTAAACTTGGCTAGCAAGCGTTACCTATATCCCTTCCGGTTTCCCGAGGTTTTCTTCATTTCTTTGATTTCGGCCATTATCAGTGGAGCTTTGGCCGCTCTTCACATCAAATTCTACAAGTTGTTGACCGAACCCGCCGAGCTCCTCAACCGTAGCGTCTCTTCCCCGTTCAAGAATAACCCATTGTTGGCTAAAGTTTAATTTTTTGGGGTCCGATATTTTTTGAAATATTTTGTTTGCCTACTACAAAATTGCTGGTATTTTTTTTGCAGGAAGTTCTAAATTAAGCCTTTTTGGTTTTTTATTCCAAAAATCTCAATTATTTCACCTTATTCATGACAAAAATTGATGTCATCCATTTCATGGATAACATAGATTTTGGTCAGAAATTTGTTTTTTATTCCTGCAATCTCAAATTCGGGTTATTCAGATCTCCCAAAATCATATTGTTTCGTCACTTTTATCTCTGAAAATTATATTATCCATGTCATGGATAATATAATTTTTATTTCTGTTTCTCGATTTTTTTGAGGTTTTAATAAATTTTATTATATTTTCAGGCTGATGCAATATAATTTTTCTTTTTTGTCACGGGTTTGTGCCCTTGAAATACTTATTTTTTAAACTTTTCCCGATTTCAAGCGCATTTTGTCTGGTCAAAAGTCACAAAAGTACAGTAGAACGGTTCCAAGTACGCGCCGCTGTGATTTAGGTTTTGTTTTTGATAACTGTGATTTTAATTTGTTATTGATGATGTATTTTTTTTGTTGTTTATCAAGTTTTTTTTGCCAAAGGATGCACCAAGACTGAACTCTGAAAGTGCAATTGGTGTTTATTTGATCATGAATTTTTGACTTTTCATCGATTTCGTCGAAATCAGAAGGTCAGGGAGTAAGAGAGCGAAAGCTCTTTGTGATAAAGGGTTGAAACTTTGGAGAGGCTTGTGTAATATTGCTGGAAAAGGTTGCAAAACGTTGCAGACTTTAAAAAAATTGAGAGTTCTTTGGGTGGCTAATGTCATGGCCCCAATTTACAAAAATTTTTTTGATTGCGGTTTGCAGAAACCAGGATTTGGGCAAAAAATTTTATCTTGTAGAGTTACAGTGACGGACCTCACAGGGGGCCGACCTTTAAAAATCACTTTACAAAGAGAAGAAATTTTGTAATATTTGACGAGCAATAAAGTCGTGGGATTAGTGGGATCTCATGAAGATCTTATCATTGCAAATTTAAGAGATTAAAACGACAAAAACTACTTCAAAATATAAAAACCTTATAAAATTTTCCTTACTTTACGGTGGCGGACCTGATCCAGTGACAAAAAAGTACCATTTTGCATCCGGGAATATAAAAAAATGTAGCAAAATACCTCCCTCTGCAAGTGAAAAAACTCCGATTTCAAAAGCGCGCCCGCTTTTTTTGTGAGGGAGCCCCTTCAAAACGGTTTTTTCACGAGGAGAGGGAAGCATTTTGCCACATTTTTTGATACTTCCCGGATGCAAAATGGTACGTTTTTTGCCACTGGATCAGGTCCGCCACTGTAAAGTAGCGAACAACTTATTTTTTATATTTTGAAGTAGTTTTTGTCGTTTTAATCTCTTAAATTTGAAATGATAAGATCTTCACGAGATCCCACTAATTCCACGGCTTTATTGATCACCAAAGATTACAAAAATTTCATCTCTTTGTAAAGTGATTTTCAAAGGTCGGTCCCCTGTGATTATTCATTGCGAAGACCGCAAAAAAGACACAAAATTTTATGTGTCCACGGTTATTTCAAAATCTGGCCGTTTTCAACGTTCCCGAAACGCTCTCTTTCCCTCGGTCCTGGTGGACGGCGGAAAGAGTGCGTTTTACGAAGAGGCAGGCACATTTGTCTGACTCAAGGCCCCCATTTCGAGGACGGGGGAAGCCCCGGCCTTGAAATAGGGCGCTTTTTTCAATGCTTTGTCGTTTTTACATGGGAAAACGGTGGGCTACGGGTGATTATTATTTATTATTGGCACGGATTTGGCCGCGCTTTTGGGATGCATTCGATTTTGGCGTAAAATAAAGCTTGAAATGTCTTGTATTTTTGGGATGCCAGTTTTTGGTGTATTCTGACAGCCGAGACGGTTTGATAAAGATTTTGAAAACCAGTGGAAACAGAGATCCATTAGCTCCTGATGCCAAAAGATATTGCCAAGGAACCACAGCCTGCAGTGCCTTTTGATATAAAACTTGTGGTTGGCTGGATATCTTTTCCGGCGTTTTTTTGTAAAGGATTGAGCTGTAATAGGGGTAATCTTGACCTTATAGTCTGTAATTTGTTTTTCTGTATCTTCAGGGGTCGTCCGAAGCTTATCAATATTTGCACTAATAACATGACGTTAGCCGAAATGTTTATTTCGAAAATGTTTGTTTACTGTAGGTTGAAAAGTGATACCAATTTTGAAGTCTTGACAAGTCGTAAATATTTCAATTTGCGTTTATGTGGGCGAAAATTAAGGGTTAAATGAATGTGTTCAAAGATCTGTTCGTTATTTGAATTTCCGATGGATTATTGAAGCTTTATGGATGTGTATGAAGGTTTGGAAATATATTGAGGAAAAACAAGTCCATTCCACTCGACATCCCCGAAAGATTTTAAATTGTTCTCCGGAGCTGGGAAAGCTGGGTGTAGGCTTTTGAAAGTTGCATAGGACATTTTTTTAGTTTGTATTTTCTCAGGTTAAGAAAGTTCAAACTAGAAAATTTTTCTATGCGATTTTCAGAAGCCTGCACCTAACTTTCCCAGCCACGGTAGACAATTAAAATTGTCTTGGAGATGGTGGAATGGACTTGTCTTTTCTCGAACTATTTCCAAACCTTCGTAAAACGTCCCAAAACTTCAATAATCCATTTCGGAAATTCAGAGTACAAGCAAGACTTTGAACCCGCTCATTTAACGTTTTTTTCGCCCAACATAAACTAAAATTGGACGATTTATGGCATGTCAAGAGTTCAAAATTGATATCACTTTTCAACCTACCGTAAACAAAGATTTTCGAAATAAACATTTGGGGCGTAACGTCATGTTTTTAATGCAAATATTGTTAAGCTTTGGACGACCCCTGAAGATACAGAAGACAAATTACAGACTATAAGGTCAAGATTATCCCTGTTACAGCTCAATCTTTTCCAAAAAAACGCCGGAAACGACATCCAGCTAACCACCAGTTGGATATCAAAAATTATCGCAGGCCAAGCGTTCAAAATTGATATCACTTTTCTCGTTTCGGTATTTCCTCGATAGTCGATGTTCTGTGTTACTTCTTTGTTCTTTCTTTCCAATCTGAGCTCATAGTTCGTTCTTGCGTTCTGACGTCCTTGTCATGTCACAGGTGGGTGTGGGTTGATGGATTGCAATTGATATTGGCCATGGATTTGTGAACCCTTTCGCTGTGAGGGTTCGATTTTTTATGCTGAAGGGATCTCCCGGTGCTCGTGGATCTTCCGAAAGGACATGGAAATGAGAAATTTTTAGTGGTGCCAAAAATTTATTGGCCAGACAGACGTTGGTAGGGCTTCTTCCTATTTTTTTATGTTTGCATTGGAAATGAAAAAAAATAATAAGGGAAATAAGTCGAATTATGACTAGAATGCTGAATTTGAAAGCGAAAAGAAAAGGTTTATTTTTCTTGCCCTAAAATTTTTAAGTTGAACAAGTTTTATTTGGAGGCCAAGAACTGCTGTTTACGGCCCTCTGTTTATGTTTATGCATTTTCCGGCATACGGTAGATGGGACCGAAGTCGAAACGGACAAAAAAATTTATTTTTGACTTTGCACTCAATCTCGTAAATCTCTTGTTTGTTACTCTGTTTGTTGAAAATAGGTTCCAGCTTCTTCTTTTTTTGATACTTGCTTGTTTTTTGAGCTGGGAAAACTTTGGTCTTTCCGTTGTTTGGAGTAATCAAGGGATTATAGCCTTCACAATTTTTTGTAAAGTCATCGAAAAGTTAGATTTTTGTGGGCCAGAAGTAGGGACGGAATTTTGCATGTGAGAACGTTAAAGATAATTTTCTCTACAAGAAATTTGGTTGTGTTTTGTTGCAATTATCAGGTCTATTCACCTTCAAAAAAAGTGTTTCCATCAATTTATGCGTAGAAAGATTAAATTCCGCGCTAATTTTAGCCTGTAATTTGCCTCCCCGAAAAATTCTTGATAATAAAAATTCGTAGATAGAACAAAGCTTGTTCTTCTTGGGAACGTTTTCGAAATGGAAATTTCCGAGTTCCCGTGAATTGTTGTTTGTCAGGAAACCCCGTGTTTACGTCATGTCTCTCTCGGGTTTGTAGTGTAGTCATTGTACAAAGAGGAAGTGATAAATGCATTGATGAAACTTGTCTTGTCTTTTGATTTACTAGATTAACGATTTCTAGGAGACATTGTCTAGACATGGTTTATCCTAATGGAAATTTCTTTGGAACAGCTTTTTTGTCGGGGAAACCGAACAGAGAACACTTTAGGAGGAAATCAGAGGACGTGTAAACAAGTCTACACTTGCTGAAAGTAATAACTATACGAAAAATTATAGCCTGAGATTTGAGTTTTGTGATTTTTTAGGAGGTCAATAAGTGCTACCCAAAAATTTCAATGCTTTGATTTTGATTAGACATGGCACAAATTCAGATTGAAATTTTGTAAGAGACTTGCGAGATTTTTAGCTCGCGCTTTGTAGAAACCGTCTTGATTTATAATTTGAGGGTTCTTTTTGTGTTAGCTCACAAATTCACCAAATCAAGGCGATTTCTGCAAAGCGCGAGCTAAAAATCCCGCACGTCTCCTGCAAAATTTCAATCCGAATTTGTGCCATGTCTAATCAAAATCAAGCCGATGAAATTTTTGAGGTGCCCCTCTTTGGCCTCCTAAAAAATCATCACACTCAAATCTCACAAGGGCTCGGCAAAACCTCGTCCCCTGGTTTTTTCTTGAAACATATACCATTTGAAAGAGCGTAAAAAACTGGTCTAGAAGCGACTTTTATTAGCTGCTATTATCCACTTTCGCGCTGGCTAGCGAGAATTTTTTAGTTCTAGGTTAGTCTCACCCTTCTTTTGAGAAAACAAACGCGATCGGTTTCAAAAGCAAACCGAAGAAGTGCTTCAGTGGCCTAGTGGGGAAAGGCGCTGCTCAAGCCTGCGAAGCGGGTTCGAATCCTCTTTTGAACTTTTTTATTTTTCTGGCTAGTATGGAACAAATAGAGTCAGAAAGTTATATTTAATTTTGGACTAGACTTTTGTGAATACTCAGGTCCATTTTAAAAGAAAAAACTACAACTTTTTCGTTTTTTTTTTATTTTGGCCTCTTTGACCTTGTAGTGGGACATCCTGGGTGGTTGAAACTTTCGAGGTCTTTCATATTTTTACTAGGAATTCCTGCTAACGGAAAGTACGTAAAAATTGAGTCTGAAAACATCTTACATGCTTGGAACATCTTCGTTTGTCTTGAGTTACAGGACCTAAAACATCGCGCAATCACTCATTGAGTATATCAACCTGAATGTCTCAAACTCATAAAACCTTTTGTATTTTTTGACATGGGTTGAAGCGTTCAACCTCATTAATGACTAATGTTTATATGAAAAGTGATTATTCGATCTCGTTCACGTCTCAGAAGCAAAAAGTTCCAAAATTCAACTTGGAAATTTTAAAAAATGCCCGCTAGCCAGCCCGTAAGTGGATAATAGCAGCTAATTCAAGGTGATCCTAAACCAGTTTGTTACGCTCTTTCGAATGGTATATGTTTCAAGATAAAACCAGGGGACGAGGTTTTGCCGAGCCCTTGTCAGACTATAATTTTTCGGATGGTTATTATTTACAACTAGTGTAGACTTGTTTACCATGTCCTCTAATTTCCTCCCGGGCTGTTCTCTGCTCGGTTTTCCCTGACAAAAAGGCTCTTGCAAAGAAATTTCCATTACGGAACGATTTTTGAACCAAATTTCCAATCAAAAAGAAGAAGAAGAGACCCCTCAAAATCATTCGGGGCGGGGTCAGAACGATGTATAAAGCGGGCGAACCAGTTTGAAAGTGTAGTTTCAGTTCATTATTAGTTAAACTTTGATTTTTTTGCGCGATGATTACATTAGAAATTATATATTAATCAAATTGTATTTTGAATAATTTCAGAAGTCATGAGCCTCTCCAGAAGCTTACAAATGATGGCCAGACCCGTGGTCTTGGCCAGACAAGGCTCGTCGTTGTTGCAGATTCGTAGGTTTTACTGGAAGTAGAAAATTTGTGAAATTTTTGTCATGGATAATATAAAAAATTTCTAAAATTTGAGATTTTTGTCAAGAAAAATGTGAAATAACTAACTGTTTTGTATTTTCAGCCCAATACCAATTTGAACAGACCGCCTCGACATCGGTCCTCAGCTCGAAGCCCCGCCAAATCCAGCCCAAAGCAAACATCCGCTCCAAGCCATCGCAAGCCATCGAAGAGACCCGAAAACAGTTCAAAACCGACAAGAAAGCGGGGCTTGTCATCTTCGACAAAGACGGCACCCTGATCTGCTTCCATTCCATGTGGGTCCCATGGACGAAACAGACGTATCAACGGCTGAATGAGGCCACGAAACTGGACCTCTCCAACAAGTTCTACAAACTGTTGGGCTTCTGCCCCATCGAACAGAAAGTCAAAACGGGCCTTCTCGCCGAAGGCACGATGGCGCAGATTCGCCAGAAAACGGTGGAACTCCTCGTGGATCATGATGTGAGTCGAGAGCTGGCCGAAGAAATTGTTCACACCAACGTCAGGGACTGCAACACCGCCTCAACCGAGACTCTCAAAGAGATTCACGACCTGCAGACCCTGTTCCAGGAGTTGAAGTCCCACAATGTGAAGATTGCCATCTGCACGGCCGACAGCAGACAGGGAACCATCATGGCGCTGAAATCTTTTGGTCTAGAACAGTATGTTGATCTGGTTGTGTGCGGAGATGACACTGGCTCTCAGCCAAAACCACATCCTCACAACGCCTTGAATATTTGCAAAATCTTGGGAGTTGATCCAAAGGTAATTTTGGGAATGGGTTATATTGTAGTAGGTGGGGTGAAGAAAAATGATTTTTTTCTGTGAAAATGGAAAAGGCTGAGCATGTTTTTGGTTTGAATAGAAAGAGGGAAGATTTGTGGTTGTTTTGAGGTCAAAAGTTTGAAGAAATAACCTTTAGAAAGTCCTTGAAAAGCACTTATATTATACTAGGTCAGATAGGTAAAAATAATGATTTTTTTGTTTAAAAAAACGGTTTCAAATGACCGTAATATCCACACCCACGGAAATTTAATGTCATTGCGGTGGTTTCAAAACCACAAATGTCAAAGACAAGCGATCAGCTGTCTGGGAACCCCCGCTTTCTTTGAATCGACCCCCTATCCACGTGACAGGGCGAAAGCGAGGGGTTTTCCGAATATTTCGCTGACAGAGAAAGCATTTCTATGATGCAGACCTAATGGAGAAACGGTTTGGAAGAAAAGGAAACCATAAAAAAGGTTTTGAAATAGGGAAATGATCAATAATCAACATGGATAATATCCGAAATCTAAAATAATTTTATATGATTAATTTGACGCAATTTTAGGACGCTTTGATGGTCGGTGACACCTTGGCGGACATGGGAATGGGCCGTTCGGCCCAACTTGGCGGCACTGTTGGCGTATTGTCGGGCGTTGGCGACCGACATGAACTTGATCCTCATGCCGACCATCTCTTAAAACACGTCGGAGAACTCATGCCAGTCGTTCTGGGCAAATTTAATGGCCCAAACAAGCCAGGAAGCGCCTCGGCGTGATCGAATTTGAGCAACTCGGGTTATATTAACCCACTTTTAACGGTTTTTTGTTAGCTGATACTGCATGGTGTCATATATTGTTTTGAGGCTGTAAATATTGCAATAAACGCCCGGATTTCGACTAATTATAGAATAACCAGCTTTTTAGTAAAATTTGACTAATTCAGCAGGTATTTGGAAGCATTTTTGGGGCAGTTATTTCAATATTTCACCTTACTTTAGTGGTCCGAATATTCTCCATGTCTGTTGCTACGGTTTCTCTCGTTGAATACCACTTTTAAATGTCTAATTTGTTAGAACATGCTGTAACGAACAAATAATATTGAAATTGAGACTCTGTGACGTCTCCGCGAACCTTCACTATATTATCCATGAGCTTTACCCAAGATCCTCGAATTTCCCCCTCATTTTATCGTTATATTGTTGTTTTGCTAGTGTAAACTAGTTTGTTTTGAACTCCGCATTCTGTGAATGTCTAGTTTCCGTTAGAAGTTTGGGCGAACGAAAAAAAATAAATTTTATTTTCCGTCCAAACACTCGGCTTTTTCTTTTTCTGATTTTTGATCGAATCTGGACGAAGTTGTCTCAACCAACGACCGGAATTGGTTTATTTGCACGTAAAATGCCTTCCACAAGGTCCATTCTAATTTTCTTTTGCTGTTTTGCAAGATTTTTTTTTTGCTTTATCCGACTTCTTCGCCTAAAACAATTTGTCCAATTTTAGCCGCAATGCTGTCCAGAGCCAGCATTGTATCGTTGAGGAGGAACACGAACAAGTCGGGTAAACACTGGGGAGCATATCGGATTGGCGAGTTTCATCCGAAATTGCCCGACAAAAAACCGACGCATATTATCGTTGGTGCTGGAGCGGCAGGATGTGTTTTGGTAAGTTTCTTGTTGTTTGATCTTCTTGAAATTTTAGGTAAATCTGAAGCAGGATGTAGAATTAATTTTCAACGCAAAAAATCTCTGGAATTTGCCTAGTTTCCGTTGTTTTCGGGATTTTAGGTATCAGTGTCAAGTATAATATATTTTGATTGTAATCGGGATTGTGGAGCGTCGTTAACACTTGTCATGGCATATCAAGCTAAATTAAGGTTTATGAGGCTTCTTTCATTCTCTGTCTGAGCTGTTTTTCATTTCTGCTTACCTAAAATAATATAATTCTTGTTCAGGCAAATCGGCTGACAGAAAATCCGGACAACCTTGTGGTCCTTATGGAAGCTGGCCCAAAGGACAACTGGTGGAACTGGAAGATCCATATGCCGGCCGCTTTGATGTACAATCTCTGTAATGATAATTATAACTGGTAAGAAGGATAATATATTTTTTGTTGAATTTTTAGGAAATACTTGTAGAGAAGGTAGAATGGGTTGCAGCAAGTGATATTCAAAGTATTAAAAAGAAATTCTTGCAGGTTCTATCACACAGCAGCTCAAAAACACATGGACGACCGGGTCTTTTATTGGCCGAGAGGTCGAGTTTGGGGTGGATCAACGTCATTGAATGCCATGGCCTATGTTCGCGGTCACCCCATGGATTATGATCGATGGGAACTGGAAGGGTGCAAGAATTGGTCGTATAAGTAAGTTATTTTTTATTAGTCCTCTTGCTTTAGGTACTTGATGAAATCTCTGAAAATTTGGTTGAGAATTTGGCCAAGAATTTAAAAGAGAGACTGTGAATGTTGATTCTTCCTCTGTGCCAAGTTTCAGCCAATTCCAAACGTTTTTATGCGGGATGATGGCATTTTTTCGACCAAAAGTATATTATTTTAGATATAAAAATAAAGAAATTTATTTTCAAATTTTTAGACACTGTTTGCCCTACTTCAAGAAAGCCCAGACTCATGAGCTCTCCACCGGTCCAGATGATCCATATCGCGGCTATAATGGACCGTTGAAAGTGTCGGTCGGCAAGTGCGAAAACCCCTTGCATCAGGCGTGGATCAATGCCGGAAAAACGCATCGAATCGGCTACACCGAGGACATGAATGGCTACCGCCAAGAAGGAACTGCCCCCATGGACATGACTGTGCATAAAGGCAAGCGGCAGAGCGCCTCAGTCTGTTATCTTCATCCGATTTTGGAGCGGCCGAACCTCATCACCTCGACCAATATTTTGACGACCAAAATTTTGTTCAACGGCAAGAAAGCGATCGGTGTGGAGTATCTAAGGCGAACGAATAATGTATTTGGACAAGATGCGATTGATTCATATAATAGGGAGAAGATTTATTGCGAATCGGATGTTATCCTTGCTGGAGGCGCTATAAACAGCCCCCAATTGCTGTTGCTCAGTGGAATTGGACCGAGAAATCACTTGAATAGCTTGGAGATCCCGGTGATTCAGGATATGCCGGGAGTGGGCAACAATTTACAAGACCATCTGGAGATTTATGTTCAGCAGGTAAGAATTTGATTTTTTTTTTTTGATTTTTAGATTCTTGAATGAAGTTTGGAAGCATAATTGAGCTTTTTGAATGTTCTGGGGGTATTTTACAACTATTTTGAGAGATGGTAGTTTTTTATTTGAAATTCAAAAGGAGTTTTTATATTATCCATGATGACCTCTCCCCAATTTTTAATTTTTCGCCTAAAATCCCTCAATTTTCTCCAGAAATGCACCCAGCCCATCACCCTTTACGATAAGAGCTCCTGGAAATTCCCGCACAACATGATCAAAACCGGACTTCAATGGTTCTACAATCAAACGGGACTCGCCGCCAGCAGTCATCTGGAATCGGGAGGATTCTGCAGATCCAGTGATGATGTAAGTTTTAAATGCCAGAAGAAGGTAGATTGAGTATCTTGTGGATTTTTTAGCCTTATGGGGGAGATTTTAGGATGACTTTTTAAGGGTAACATACTTGATGTCTAGTGCAATATAAAATTTGCTGAGAAAAAGTCAGATATTTATAGAAATGGAGTTTTATTTGTTTCATGAGCCTTAAAATATTGTTTAGAGGGCGTGTGAAGCTACAGAATTAAAAAAAAATATTTTTTTTACTTTAGGTACCTAAAAAAATTTTGGCTGGATGATTGATATTAGCTCTGGGATTGGGCTAAAAGTTGTATCTAGATAAATTTTGATGTTTAGAAGGATTTTTTAGACTGTTTAGGCCCCTTTTTAGGCAAGGATTTACATTAATTTACCTTGTTTTAGATCCCCCACCCAGATATCCAATTCCATTTTCTCCCCTCAACGGTTCACGATGACGGCAGAACGAATGGCACGTGCCATGCCTATCAAGTTCATGTGGGCCCCATGCGATCGCAGTCCAAAGGAACGTTGAAATTGATCAGCAACGACCCCCGAGTGCACCCAGCAATGGACCCGAATTATATGGCCGAGGAGCAGGATTGGATCGAGTTCAGGAAGTGCATTAGAATCTCGAGAGAATTGTTTGCCCAAAAGTCTTTTGACGAATTCAGAGGCGACGAATTGGCCCCAGGAATTGAGTGCCAAACTGATGAACAGGTAAGTGTAATATAGGCGGAAATATAGGGAAAAATGAGGATAAGTGGAGGTGAATTTGATTGAAAAAGAAGGAATAGGGTGTTGAAGGAGAGAATAGTATATTTTGCTTATTTTTTATGCCGTATTTCACCTTCAGATTGACAAATTTGTCCGAGAAAAGGCCGCCTCAGCCTATCACCCATCTTGCACGGTAAAAATGGGCCCAAGCTCGGATGAATTCGCGTGTGTGGACCCGGAAACAATGAAATTGCATGGCTTCGAAGGTCTGAGAGTAAGTTGGAAGCAAAGTTTTTTGATTCGAGATCAGTTTTGAGGAGTTTTTGACCTTATAAGACCTTGTACTAGCTTACTTGGAGGTCCGAAAAAGAAATGGCTATAAAATTTTTGGTGTGCATGGTATAGTGATGATTGTAGGTGGTGGATGCGAGTGTGATGCCCTCTATTGTGAGCGGCAATCTCCAAGCCCCGACGATCATGCTGGCCGAGAAAGCGGCCGATATTATACAGGGCAAGAGCCCACTTCCGCCTCAAGATGTACCCATTTGGAAGCCCGAAATTGGGAAGCCCTCGAACATTCAGCCATAAGGGACTTCTAATCTACTATTTAGAGAACAGAAATAGAATTTTTATATTGATTTAGAGGCTTCTCGATATTAATTTAGGCAAAAATAGACATTTTTTTGAAAAAACAGGGATTACGCTCTGATTTTGGTCTGAAATTCATTCCAATTCATTCCCAAGAAAACTACCGTATTCTAGAAGGTAGTTGTTGTCTAAAAATTAGGATTAATATTTAATTTTATCGTTGATTTTATTTGTTTTCCAATGAAAACGCCAAAAATTAGGTCGCGATCGATTTTTTCGATCAAAAATTGTTTTGTTACGTTTTAACGGAATAAATGTTGTTGTTTGAAAGGCATGTTGTATTTCGTTGAAAGCCCTAAAACTGCTCTTTAACTCTGGGAGGCCCTAAAATTCCTATAATCTTGAAAAAAAGTCCTTAGGAAAGATTAGAGAAATACAAGAACCGTCAGAAAAACGCGATCAAATGAAACAGTGGGATTATTTTTATTTTGAGGTGCGAAGAACTGACGTTTAACTTTGGGAAAATAAAATATTTTTTTTTTCTTTTGTTTTTGATTTTTTACTTTTTTTTTCAATTTTTGGCCACCCTATGTAAAAGTAAAAATTGAAAAGCTTTGAAATGCCCCATTGTGCTCATTATTTTCCCGACAGACTGATTACAGCTCGGAAAATAATGAGCGCAATGTCGCAGCGCATAAAAACTGGTGATTGAGGACAAGAATCTGTAGGAACGTAGGGTAAATTTTTTGGGGGAAAATCGCAAAAAAATCAAAAAAAAAATTTGATCAATGTTCAACAAAAAGGATCAACCGCCAGCCAAAAAAAGTTACCTTGGTCCCCCCTTACCATATTTTTTACTTTCGACCCCGATCTGGGGGGCCACCCATTACAGTGAGGGACCTGATCTAGTGGCAAAAAACGTACCATTTTGCATCCGGGAAGTATCAAAAATGCAGCAAAATCCCTCCCTCTCCAAGTGAATAAACTCCGATTTCAAAAGCGCGGCCCCTCTTTTTGTGAGGAAAAGGGCGCGCCCTTCAAAACGGAGTTTTTTAGTTGTAGAAGGAGGTATTTTGCCACATTTTTGATACTTCCCGTATGCAAAACGGTACGTTTTTTGCCACTAGATCAGGTCCCTCACTGTAATGGCTGGCCCCCCAGATCGGGGTCGAAATTAAAAAATATGGTAAGGGGGGGACCAAGGTAACTTTTTTGGCTGGCGGTTGATCCTTTTTGTTGAACTTTGATCAAAAAAATTTTTTGATTTTTTTGCGTTTTTCCCCCAAAAAATTTACCCTACCTACAGATTCTTGACCTCAATCACCAGTTTTTATGCCCTATTTTGGAAGAGAAAGTCAGCTGACAATCAGACGAATGACATAAAAATTGGATGTTTATGACCAAAATATTTATTTTGGCTGTACTAAAAACGCTCTTTAAGCACCGAAATCAAATTGTCACTCCTTGACTTTTATTTTCTTCAGTATAGTCTGCTCAAAATTTAGAGGGAGCAAAAGTTTATTTCATCGCTTTCAAAATATGATTTTTCGCTTGAGAAAAGTCGTTTGACTCTGTTTTTTTTGTCCACTAGAGATCGATAAGGAGTCAGAAAGTCTTCGTTGGACGCTGATGATTTGCCAGTCAATTTGCAAATAACAAAAATACTTTATCGTTGGGCCGATAAGAGCCTGCTGAGGGCGGAGGAAATGGGGAAAAACTGCTATTTTTGAGGAGTTCTTGAGAAAATTCAGCTTATTTTTGATTGTATTTGAGTTATTGGTTATTAGTGTCGAAGTATGGGGATTTTTTATGCTGCTTTGGTTGAAAGTGACAGTGTTTTGGGTTAAAAAAGCCTTATTTTACAGTATATCAGTCTGTCGGGAAAATAATGTGAAGTTGTCGCAGAAAAATGTCTCGCGTCGCCGCAGTAACGCTGATCTTGACGTATGTGCATTGATATACCGCTTTTTTATATTGAATTGCCAAGATATCAGTCTGTCGGGAAAATAATGTGGATTTGTCGCGCCTGCGAATCGCCCATCATCGCTTTGCGACGTCTAAACGCGGCTGGAAATTTGTTTTGGGACGAGACATTTTTCTGCGACAAATCCACATTATTTTCCCGACAGACTGATATCTTGGCAATTCAATATAAAGAAGCGGTATATCAACGCATATACGTCAAGATCAGCGTTACTGCGGCGATTCGAGTCATTTTCTGCGACAAATCCCCATTATTTTCCCGACAAACTGATGTCGCTCTGTCGCATCGAGAATCGCATCTCTGCCGAGAAAATGAATTGTCTCGTGACAAAATCAAATTTTTTTTCTTCAGCGACACGATCGGCGCAGCGACATTATGCTCGTTATTTTCCCGACAGACTGATAACACTGTGCAATTTGCAAGTATATCTGCAGACTTGTTGGCTTGCCTAGCAGGACATTCTCAGACAAAAAGATTGCCTCTTACCATAAAAAACAGACTGTTGAACGATTGAATCAACACTTTATGTTTGCACAGACAAAGTGATTCTTGTAAAAAGTTGTTTGATAGGCTTTTATTTTCTCAATTTTCAAGTCGAAGTGTTCTTTTATTTTTTTGGCACAACACACAAAGGTTAAAAATGCTGAATCTTGAAAATTTTTGGTGCCTTTTGCTTTTATTTTCCCGACAGACATAGTGAAAAACAAAAAAATGCACCAAAAATGTTCAAGATTCAGTTTTTTTACCTTTGTGCGTTGTGCCAAAAAATGAAAAAACACTTCGACTTGAAAATTGAGAAAATAAAAACCTATCAAACAACTTTTTACAAGAATCACTTTGTCTGTGTAAACATAAATGTTGCTTCAATCGTTCAACTGTCTGTTTTTTATGGTAAGAGGCAATCTTTTTGTCTGAGAATGTCCTGGCGGGCCAACAAGTCTTCAGATGTTTGCAAAATGCACAGTGTTATCAGTCTGTCGGGAAAATAATGAGCATATTGTCGCTGCGCCGATCGCGTCGCTGAAGTGAAATGAAATTTGATTTTGTCGCGACACAATTAATTTTCTCGGCGGCCATGCGATTTTCGTTGCGACAGAATGCTCATTATTTTCCCGACAGACTGAAATTGAACTTTTTTCTGTCTGAACTTGTGAAAAATGTCGTCTAGAGCCCAATAAAACTTATTGTTTTTTTTCATTCCAAAGCACGCCGCATTAATCAAGGTGCATCGATCAAGGCTGAGTAAATAGCCTTCAGAAAAAGTCTGTAAATAGAGTTTATAAATTGCGAACAGCGGCTCGGACAGATGTGTTCCAAAGATCCGATTAATTGCCCGCCCTCAGGGAGTGTTTTCAATGTGATTTGGCTTGAGAGAGGGAAAAACTTGAATTCTATATGATTTTTCAACACTTCCCTGTTAGATTTTGCTGAGATTTTTTATTTAAATAATGTTTTGGTACTTTAAATTCCCTGAGGCGTTCGTTAGAGAAGTTTTTTTTTGACTATGCACGTAGATAAATGGATTATGGGGGTATGTTCTTTTTCACTTGAGATGTTCGTTTTTTGACCGAAATTTTACGTTATATCACATTTACATGTGATTGACAACAACAGCCATAGCAGTCATCATGTGATATCGTCATTTTGTTAGTCTGTCGGGAAAATAATGTGGGTTTACCGCGTCTTGAAATGACCTATGTACAGTATATTGCCACTTTGCGACGGCTAACCGCGACTGGAGCCCGACCAAGCGAGAGATTTTACCGCGAAAAATCCACAGTATTTTCCCGATAGGCTGATATTTTTGAACCATAAGCGATAAAGAGCCATGACTATTAGTTTGTCGGAAAAATAATGTGGATTCGTCGGGCCTTGGAATCGCCTATCATCGCTTTGCGACAGCTAGTCGCGGCTGGATATATGGTCCGCGACTGTCTTGCTGACAAAAACTCGTCAACACGATCAGACACCGGGTCTCCTAATACGCTGTCCTAGACAAGCTCTCCCAACACTCCAACAATTACCAATGACCTCTTTATTCGCCCAAATACCACAATATGCGGGTGGCCAATACACACGATGTATTATATTCCAATTGTCCACACGCGCTGACCGCTCGCTCAGGCTGCGACTTCCAAACTATGATCTTCCTTTCCTTCCAAGTCCACGTCTCGGTTGTTTGCAATGTCCTTTCGGGTTTCGTGGCGAGCGCAGCGGCCGGTAGAATGCTGTTGCGGCGGCCGTGGCTCCTTGCGAAGAAAAAAAAATGTCCACGCACTTTATGAAAATGCTGCTGTTCCACCTTCTCTGTTCCTAAAGCAATTATTGACGTACTTTTCATACTCGCCCGCCATATATGTATACTCATTTAAAGTTCGAATGTTCCGAATGCATATAACATGTATATTTTGAAACCAAAGCGTTGGACAAATGTATGTAAATGAAGGAGTAGATAATTAGAGGGAGGGTGTTGGAGGCAAAAAATTACATAAAGTACTCCACAAATTTTTGGAAGTATACGACTAATATGTGGTATATAAAAATGAAACTTTACTGAGGTTACTGTATCCGTCTGTCGGGAGAATAATGAGCACTCTGTCGCAGCGAAAATCGCATCGCAAAATGAATTGTATCGCGGCAAAATCAAATTGCTTTTAGCTTCAGCGACCCCGCAGCGATATTGCTCATTATTTTCCCGACAGACTGAAATTTCTCCATTTCTCATTATAAAATTGTTGCTGATCTTTGTGCATTATCAATTTTGTTTATCCCGAAAAATTTCTTTGACGTTCTCAATTTTTATCATTTCCCTAATAAAAAACGGAATTTCATTAGAATTCTCCGCTTTTATGGAAATCGGATGGCCTGCAAAATAATGGGCTCTAGGTCATGAGGTCAAATGGGAATGTCTTACAAAAGGAGCGAGCGGAGGCTGACTGGGGCCTACTACACGTAGCCGCGCTGTTTCAAAAGTGCGTAGACTTTTTTCGCGATACATAGTATTTTGCTGCTCTTT